TAGATTCATGGATTAATGTTACAAGTGGAGTACTTGAGGGCTCAGTCTTAGGACATTTTCTCTTTTTGATTTACATCAGTGATGTAGATGAAGGAATTGTCAATAAATTACTTATATTTGCTGATAATATTAATGTCTCGGAAGTTGCTGGCTGTGACGAGGATGCTGCTGCTTTACAAAAGGTTTAGATCATTTATTGAGGTGGGTGAATAAATGACAAATGGGTTTTAATTATGATAAATGCAAGATAATGCATGTGGGTTATCATAATTTGAATTATAAATATAATATGGATAGGAATAAGCTTAACAATGTTATGAAAGAAAGGTATCTTGGTGTAATGGTTTGTCAGTCTCTTAAACCATCCAAGCAGTGTGCTGTTGCTAGTGGTAAGGCAAATAGGATTTTAGGTTTTGTCTATAGAAATATTTTAATACAATTCTAAAGAGGTTATAATTTCATTGTATAGGTTACTTGTTAGGCCACATTTGGAGTATTGTGTTCAGTCTTGGGCTCTTTACCTTAGGAATAGCATTGAATTGTTGCAAAGGGCTCAGAGGAGGGTTAGTAGAATGGTGCCTGGGATGGAGGGGTTGTCATATGAGGAGAGATTGAAATCTCTCAAATTTTCTCTTGAAAAAAGAAATATTAGAGGAGATCTAATCGAGGTGTTTAAGATTGTAAAGAGAATTTATAATGTTGATACATCATCTTTTTTAACACTTAACAGTGAGAATAGTAGGACAAAAGGACACAAATATAAATTCTGGCAGGGTAGGAGTCATCTTCAGCTGAGAGAGTTTTATTTTTCTAACAGGGTGGTTAGCCTTTGGATGTTGTGGAGGCAGTAAATTTAAGTGAGTTTAAGAGAAAGCTTGATAAGCATATAAATGATTAGGGCTGGCTAGAAATTTTTTATAAATTGATTTATTAATAGTTTTAGTTTACTTTAGAGGATGGAGTAGCTGAGAATATGTCTCATGTTGCCCCAAAATATTATGTTATACCTTCAAACAGATTTTTGTATATGCTAACTAAAAATTGTATGTTTGTATACATACAACATAGTCATCTATGCCTCCTTATAAGTTTGTATCTAAGACCTAGGAAACTTGTAGGGCAATGAGAGAAATCTATATTTATAAAAGTAAAAACTTTGTTTGTCCATAGTCTACTTTGTTGTCTTTAGACCAATCTCAACCAAACTAGGTATGATACCTTGGACCAAGAAGCATGTCATAGGGTGGTTATTACCTGCCCCATCAACCCTGGTCCACACCTACAGCAAAAAAATATCCACAGTGTTGGACCAATTTTTATTTCTAAAATTTGTATTTTGAGTTTTTTTTCTTGAAATGTCTTTTAGTTTTCTTCACAAAGTTTGAGTTCTTTCATTAAAAATGTTAAATATTCACATTTTTGCCAGGAAATAAGGCATCAAAAGCATAAAATCTGCTCCTTAAAGTGGCAAGGCTACATCTGAAAACCCCTTGCTCTTCACATGATCAATTCTTGTGTGGGTGTTCAAGAGTAGAACCACCAAGAAATGTCTTTATTTTGGCCCAGGAAGGTGTGTATGTATTTTGTTATAGCAAAGCCACATTGAGCTATCTGCTGTGTCCACCGAGAGGAACTGAAGCACTGATTTCACGTTGTAAGTCCGAAGACTTACCACTGTTCTATCGAGGGACAGCCCAGGAAGTAGGAAGAACTTCTTATATAGTCTATGAAGACTCAGAGTACCAATAAACACTGCAGCTGTAGAGAGGGATTAGTAAAAGTAATAAAGTAAAGGAAGATAAAGTAACTGTAACATGATTTTTGTAATGTGGAATAAAGTAGGTATGAAATAAAGTAGTTATAAAGTAAATTATTTGTGAAATAAATTACGCATATAAATACAAGCCCTATATTCAATCTTTATGCCCCTGGATGTAGGATAGATGCCTCCACTTGTACTAATATATTGTGAAATTTATTCTAATGATTGTAGTTTAACAAAGTGAAAATATGAGAAGGCTATCTATGCTTGTGGAATATTGTTTTACTGAAAAACTGAGATTAAAACATAGGTGGCAGAACATAATTTGTAGAGGTTTGTTTGTTTTGAATTTCTCGTAAAGCTACACGAGGGCTATCTGCGCTAGCTGTCCCTAATTTAGCAGTGTAAGACTAGAGGGAAGGCAGCTAGTCATCACCACCCACCGCCAACTCTTGAGCTGTTCTTTTACCAACAAATAGTGGGATTGACCATCACGTTATAATGTCCCCACGGCTGAAAGGGTGAACATGTTTGGTGTTTGCAGAGGCCCCAATGATTGGGGACATCTTATTTGCTATATTAACTGAGATCTCAGAATTAAAAAGTGAAATAGTGGCTTTCCATGATAGTTATATACAAGTTTCTATTCCCCATTCAAAGGGGCATTTCACTACCAGGTCAAAATTGAGGGGTACATGTCCCATGGACAAAATAAAATTTAATGTATGAAACAGCTTTGATTTGAAGTTCACACCACATTCTCATCACACAGTAAGCCCATACACACACTTTAAACATTCAATAACTTTCATACAACAGTAAGTGAAACTTGAGACAATTCAACACAAATTCACTTACCTGTTTGTTCACAGATTGGAAGGTAATAAACTGAGGAGGGTGAAGGAGAGTAGTCATTTGATGCAAATTTTAAACTGTTGCTTATTTCTCCATCAATGTTCCTTTACAAGACCACTATCACTTAGATTTTACAACTTTAGATAAATCAGACCTGACAGACTACTAATGCTGATGCTGTTATGACATATATTGTTTAAAATTAAAAATAAATTGTAGCAAATGTGAAAACTTCAATGAAATTTTCATCATACACAATGTTCATCATATCCATTATCGGTACCCGTTGTTAACGATGTAAGGTATGTTAATGATATAAACATATACCTCAGAAAGTTCAAAAGGCAGTCCAAGTAATAATAAATAAATAAATAAGAAAGACATGAATTTGGATGTAGTACTTTCATAGTGGCATTCAACTACTCTTCAGTTTCTTAAATCAAGCATTTCCTAACTCAGGGTACGTGAATAAGTAAATCAGAATAATACATTGTAACAGTGTGGTACTTCAGATAAAACTGAATTAATTTTAAGAATTATATCTGACAGTTTTGCTAGATAATAGATTTGCTCAAGATTAGAGCTGGGCAACTAACTTGATTACCTGCATCAATTATTGTCACAAAATGAACTGATTACTCAGAATTACAATTACATCGAGTAATGTCATAAAAATAATCAAGTAATCAAAATTATTGTTTTCAATTATTCCAAGTATCCTAGTAATCGAAATATTGCCATTATGATTTCACATCAATTTTGATTAATCAAAATTGTTGAGCTTAATTGATTAGCATTACGATTCAAAAAATA